AACTAACACTCCCTACTCAAAGTGAACCAAGTAGTAGAAATTATGTCCTGGGCCGACTCTTATCTCAATCATTAGATACGGTACTACTTATTTTTCTAAGATCAAACCAGTTTGAATGAAAGTCGTAGGACAAATATTATCTTTGCGCGCCGTTGCGCCCCGCTAAAGCCCATCGCGTATGTTCGTAATAGGCGGCTTCGGAGTATTGCTTCATAATTTGAGCATCTAGATACGTCTGTCTATGTGTCTCAGCGTTTGTCTGTACATAGCCCAACACCAAGCACGCGAAGCCCTTTTAAGCCACATTGAATAATGTGGACTTGACGGATTTTAACTACAAATACCATACGGGCACCCAATGTCGTCATTCGCAGAGGATAAATTTGGTTTCAAATTAGGTATTGAGCGGCAAACAAGCGGAGCGCCGGGCAGGCCGACAAATCACCGCGGGGTGGCCGGGGCCGGCCGGGGCCTTTACACTCCTTATTGAAATTCTTGGCAGCTTGCTGGCCGCGGCCGGGCCAGAGACACGCCGCGGGACGGCTGCTGATATTGTTTGGGGACAGGGATTTGTAATGCTCGGCCATAACATGACGAGGAGGAGGAAAGGATGTGAGGAATTCAAGGAGCTAGGCTTCCCACACACGGCAGCGCTACCCTGCTATCCTTCCTGTCATTCAAGGCCGACGGAACAGGGTGAGGACACACAGGCACAACAGAGACAGCCCGTGTACTCTTGTGTCCAAATTGAATGGACGCACATGGACGCCGTAGCAGGTGCCAAATTCTTCCGTCCCCCGGCCCCCCAGCCCCCGCGGCCGGCGCGGCTCGCTCCTTGGGCCCTTTCTACCTGTTACACCGCGAGACCACGTGCAGCGGGTCAGCGAGGAGAATGCCCTGCGCTGTCCGTCAGCGTCGTGTCCGCCCCAAGCCCTTACAGGGAACTCATTGCCAGAGGTGTGACCAACTGCGCCCCGTCATGCAAATAAATTCGCGGATTCATAAAGAACATTGCATTGTTCAAATAGAATTTACTCAAAAAAAGAAGAGGATTTTCCAGCGTATTAAACTTTAAAAATACTAAGTCTGAACAAACTATTACAGTACATCTCATTGGAAAGATTGTTTTCAAAGGCAAAATTACTTTCAAATAAGCCTTAAAGCATTTTACTTTGAGCGGATGTTCATACATTTTGGGCTAAACAAGCAGCAAGCACATGATAAATGCGAGTGCTCCCGCTGTATTCACCTGAAATTTTCAGCCGATGATTGATTTTCTGTCTTTTCTCTTATTTATCAAACAGCGATTATAAAACTACAAAACACGGCCGCGGGCGCCTTTACATCGGCAAAGCGCGGGCGGGACGGGCCAGCGTGGCGGCAGGAAACGCGGAATGCCACGCGACGTGGCGTGGCAAGGCGTGGTGTAGCGTGGAGTGGCGCGGCGTGGGTGAGCCATTGAGGCGATTGATTTACACGAACCCCGCCGTATCCGAATTACCGCGCCGCGGGGCGCAGGCTGAAATTTATGTCGTGACGACGGGACACTCTATTAGAGATAGCGAGGGGGCGGTGTGGCATAGTTCAGGTTAGGGAGACGACCTTGTCAACAGGTAAACGAGCCATCGTCTGGCGGGACACGAAGAATGTGTGCAAGGTCACGGGGGTGAAAGGTCAAGAGTAATACAGGTCACCCTGCTGGGCTGCACAGTTCAAGACGGCTCAAGTTTTTAAACACTTTTAAAGACGTATTAAATTCATCACTCTCGTTATTTTTCATCAACGTGGACGTGGACCCACATTGAAACTCGCATTCGGCGCCAAGAAATTACCACTTCTGCTTCGGAGCGCAAAATAATTACATCTCGAAAATTAAGCACCCAAGCAGCATGCCGCCGGGTAATGGCCAGCGGTGGGATTAACCCATTCCATTTACGGGACCGTCCACCTCTACCGACTCACATCGAGTCCGAGTCCGATATGCTGCACTGCAGCGAGCGAAATGCCAAATACGACTCTTCGATCCACTTATCGTGCCGAAGCTGTGATGATGGTGAAACGGGTGATGACAGGCCGCGCGTTGAGTGATTCACTGATGAAATCATATGTCGGCACTCGCATCAGCGGGGAACACGGAGACTAGGAGGAGGGGAGGAGGGGGCGGGGGGACCGCCACCGCCGCGCGGTCTGATTTACATGGGAGACCGAGTGACACGCGTGGTGATATCATCGGTTCACTACCATTCACGACCCCCCCCCCCCCCTCTCTCTCTCTCCTTCCTCCCCCCTCTTTTTTTTCAAACTTTTTGTCACTTGCTCTCTCTTTCTGAGGAGCCAGAAGAGGGGGCATCGGCCCGGCATCAGCCCGGCCACGCTTGAACGCCAAATGCCCCGCGATGGAGCAGAAAGGGGAAAAAAACGCACAACATTGTTATCTACAACGATGTAAAACAACAACAACAAACCACATATTGAGGTTTGGAGCCGCCGACAGCGCGGGTCAGACCGACGCATCGCCAAATAAGATGTAATCTTTCACTCTCACCGCCACAAAAAGTGCCAAATCCCATAGAAAAAAAAATCACAAAAGGTAAATCACAAATATGTCACGCTACGCTAACCTCACTCCCCCCATCCTCTCACTCTTCCTCTCTCTCTCACTCACTCGCAAGATCACGCTACAGCACACTCCTCTCCTGGGCCAGGCGCCGTGCCTGCGCCTTGTCTAGACTGCTGCAGCTGACAGCCCCAACTTGAGCAGCGCTGCTGCCGGTGCTTGCTGCTCTGTCGTCGTCGTGCGCCCAAAACCTGCCAATCCTCCCCGGCGGAGACGCCGCGGCCGATGCCTGGGGTATAGGAGGGCTGCAGCAGGTAGAGGCAGGGCAGGCCACGCGGGCAGGCGGGCGCCTGGCGGGGTAGGCAATCTCCCCCACGGTGTCGCACCCCCGCTCGGCGGCGCTGCCTACCTCACCGGCGCTCGCGCTGCTCGTAGTTAGGCAACCCTCGCTCGCGCAGGGCACGCCCGTTCGGCGGATTTGCCTACCCGACCATTGCCAGGCGTTGGTCCCCCGACGACCCCGGCGGAAAGGAGCACGTGCAACAACACACCACCACCCCGCACCACCCTGTCCGGTGCGGAGTTGCCTACCACCCGACCTTCGTGACGGACTATGACGGGCGTGGGACGCGTGACTCGTAGCGTCAACATGCACACCGACCAGCGCTCCAGGAAGCCGAAGGAGGGACAGGAGCGCGTCGAGTGAGTCACCGGGGAAGGCGGCCAGCATGAGCAGCAGTGACAGCAGTATACCATGCAGCCCGCCCGCAGGAAGTCAACTTCCCAGCCAAGAAAGCCAAGCCGCCTGCCGCTAGTTGGACCCAAGAGTCGTCGCTATGTTGCTGCTTATTGTCAACAGGACACCACCGCGCGCCCGCGTAGGCCAATAAAAAGTAACAGCGCGGCTCTGTGGTAGGCTCCCCGGCTGCTAACGGACAGACAGACAGACAGACAGACAGACAGACAGACAGACAGACAGACAGACAGACAGACAGACAGACAGACAGACAGACAGACAGACGGACAGACGGACAGACCGCTGGACAGACCACCAGAGACAGAAGGATGAATCAGCTGAGCACCTCACGCCCCTTTATTTACGAGCGGAGCCCCGCCACCGGCCTGCCGCTTATAAATACACGAGTCGCGATTAGGACATCGACGGGACGTTAATTGATCGTCATTTCTGCGCCGTCCGTCAACAAGTTAGCAGCCAGGGAGGGAGGCGGCTATGCTGCGTGTGCGCAAATCAAATGCATCAAATGGCGAGAGGCGCCGGCCGCGCACACACATTGCCTGCTGCTGGCTGCGGCCGCGGCGACGGCGGCGAGGAGGACCCCGCGGGGGCCACCCGGCCGGGGCGGGGCGGGGCGAGGCCAGGGCCAGGCGCCCAGAATGGATGGTCAGTCGTCCGATAGGCAGCGGGGCGGGGCGCTGTCACTCGGGACAATGTGAGCCGTATCTCAGCCCCGGTCTCGCCGGCCCCGGCGCGGCGCGCGGCCACCCTCCCACGCCTCTGTGAGCTTGCACCGCGCCCCGCCTCGCCCCGCCACACGGTCCCAAGCTCACCCGGGGCCATTGTAACCGCATGGCAAAGGGTGTCGGTCGGCAAAAGGGGGTGCTGCGTCCGGGGCGGGGCGGGGCGGGGTGGGTCGGGGCTGGAGGACACGGCACCCGACCACCGACCCGGCTGGATGCACGCGGCAGCAGCCAAACGTGTCTATCATTTTCCAGGTTCATAGGCCTGGCCGGGCCGACGAGCGCGCGCGCGCAGTTTCAAACTCGCGTTACGTTACACGGGCGCCAACGCCCCTTCGCCGGCCCGACCCCTCTCCGCTTGCTCCCGCGCGCCCCGCGTCATTGTCAAATAATTGCCCGACCGGAAACGGAGCGACGCCGCCACCGCCGCCGTCAGGCCTCTGGCCACGAGTTTCACGCAAACTCGTCCATCTCTCCCTCTCTTATTCTGGCTGCCACCCTCCACCCCCAACCCTCCTGCTCCCACTCTCTCCGCTCTCTGTGCTGCTCACTGAACACACCCCTCTGCCGCGGGGAGCAAGGACCAACGAGACACCACACGCAGCGTACCGAGGGGGGCGGGAAGAGGGAGGGGAGGGGCAAGGGGAGGAGGGCTGCTAAATATTTACCCATAACAATTCCAACAAATTTTGAAATTTGAAACAAATATGCTGAAATGCAATATTTGAACGCGTTGAGAATGGTCAGGAAAATGCTGATAAAATTCAACTGAAATCCGCCGACCAGTTTGAGAAAATCGCGCAAATTTTAAAAATACTCTAAAATTCTTTTTGAAATTTGAATTCAGTAAAGTTCGAGAGGACGATAGGATGGGGATGGTAAAGAATACGGGGAGATGAAATTGGGATGACGGCCATGGAGAAGACGTCTGTTCGGTGACGCCCCAGAGACGACCGGAAGATAAGATGGGCCGCGAGGACGTTGCCGTTGCAAGGAGGAGAACGGGGGGAAGATGCGGGGGCATAAGCAGCTCAAGCGCATGAGCATTTGAGCGCGGTTTGACAAGCGGCAGGGTGCAGCAGGCGGGGCCGGGCCGGGCGGGGTGGGGCCGGGGTGCAGCGCAGCAGCAGCAGCGCGCCTCGAGGGGACGCACGTCAAGCGCACAATGTTATTCGCCCTGCCCTGCCGGGGGCCCCAGGCCGGGCTGGGCGCCTGCCATGCCACGACACGACAGGCCACGCCATACCGCGCCCTGCCTTGCCTTGCCCTCCTGCGCGCCTGACCGGGCCGCTATGCCGCTCGACTATGAGAGTCGATTTAACGGCACATTACGATGAGCGACTTGAGATGGCCTGCGGCAGCCATAGCCAGCGCGGGCATAGGCGAGGAGCGAGCGGGGGTGACTTCAAGATCAACAAACGGCCGAACGGCAGGCGGGCGGGGCCGTGTTTAGTGTACGAGTAGCCATGCAGAGTAGACCCACGGCGGCCTTGTGGTGGGCCGGGACACGTCTATACTAAACTCGGTCCGGATCTGGGTCCCCGCCACTCCACGCCGAGAGGCCACCACGCACCGACCTGCACCGCCCGCAGAGGCTTGCGACCCAACACGCCGCCGCTCACCTCTGACCCGACCCCACGACGAGCTTGTCTTGCCTTCTCGTGCACGCGCGCCTTTCTTTTGACACTTGAGGTTGAGGAAGGGAAGGGGGAGCGAGTGAGAGGCTTTGCTTCAGTCTCAAACGCCTCGGCGTCGACGCACCGCGCCGTCGCCCGTCACCGTCACAGCACCGGGCCGCCTTCTTGTCGCCCTCCGCGTCGTCGACGTGACAAAACGACGCCAACGGCCGCAGCAGATTTTCGGTTTCGAGGCGGCGACGACGGCGGCGACGGGGCGGATGGATCATCGTGCGGCAGGAGGCCCGGCCGCCGCCGCGGGGGCCGCGTGACGCGAGAATGAATGGGCCGGCGATAACCTCCGCGCCCCGCCCCCTTCTTCCTCCCACAGCGTGGACGACGTGGACCCCCTGAGCGCGGACAGAGCCGCCCACCCAAAGCTAGAGTTTTGCCGAATTTTGGTGAAGTTTTAGAAGATGATGCGTTCATAATTAGAACATTTTATACAACTGAAACTGAGACAAAGAACGACATGGCAAATTTTCTGCCGAGGATCTTCAAGTTAAATTTTTCAAATGCACTACTATGTTTGAATTTTCAGAATTTCGGGGGGAGATTTTTGAAAATCTCGGTTGGATTCTTTAAAGATGTGATTGACTTTTGAAACAATTTTACTACTTTCAAGCATACATGTCCTAAATTTTACTCGAAATTTTAAATAAACTTTGCTGGAATTCTTTGAATTTTTCGCGGTGACAGTCAATTACCAAAAGTCTAAATTATTTCAAATTTCGGCTGTGACAAGTTTTCAGAAGCCTACTAGGCCTGGGGCCTCGTCCGCCGCAGCCCAGCCCACAAGCCCACAAGCCCGGCGGACACGAGACAGCCAGACCCAGCAGCAGCATGCCTTGCTCGCTTGGCCTATAAAATGAAAAAGGCCGGCAGTTTTTCTTGTAAATAGGCAATCGGACGGTGATGCGTACCCTCGCGGGTGCGGCCGCCGGCCAGCCGGCCGGCTCTGGTGTAGCGATGCCTGGCCGGCCGGGCCATGCGGTGTCGTCATCACTTGTCCTGGCGCGGGTGGGGCGGGGCTGGGCGGCGGGTGACCAGGCGACGTGCGGGTGTGAATATAATATACTTTACTGGCGCTCTGGCATTAGAATAAATAAACTCCCCAGCAGTCTCGCCACCGCGCCGCCGCCGTCAACGTTAACTCACCGACGGTGTGACGGCCACTGCTGAAGAATATTACCCGCGGAGGGTGAAAACGAACAAGTTGACCACACCATAAATTTAGAAAGGACGTTTCTTTCTTATTTTATTTTTTATGACAATTTCAAGGAGCATTAGCGCGGCGACGAGTATTTGTGTAGCGGCCGTGGGAGACCCACAGACTCCTAGTGGTAATAAAGCCCCACACAGCGCTCCAGGACTCCGTCGTCGTGCGGTCCGGTTGCGGCAAAGTTAGGCCGCCTCCAGCTCGCCGAGCGCCCTGGAGCGGAGCGGGCTTTTTCAAAACAAACCGAAAACAAAAGCCCGGCCGCTTTCGCGCGCTCGCGGGATCACCTGGGGGCGCCACGCCGCCGCCGCCGAGCGGCCCGCCTCGCCATTCAAACAACATCAGCGTCACATTGACGTATCTCGCTGTGCTCCCCTTCGGGCAATCCTGCCCCCGCTGCTACTCACTGCTCGCTCACGCTGCTGATGTCACGCTCCTGGAAGCCGCCGCCGCCGCCAGAGGCGCTGGCTGCTGGGCGGGCGTGGGAGTCGAGTGGAAGGGGGTGCAGCAACACTCCAAGTTTACCACTCGGTTTACCACTCACTGCGGCTACTACTACCCGCGGCCACTCGCGGCCGGCCGGCCGGCAGTGGGGCCGCGTCCGAAACAGAAGGCGTCGGCGGCGGCGCCCTGGTCAGGTATATACCACACCGCGCGCCAGGACGGATCCACGCGCCCGCCGCCGCGGACGCGCCCCGGTGCGCCTCTCGCAGCTGCTGCCGCTCTTGCTGTGCTCGGGCGCGGAGCACCGCTCTTCGAGTGGTCATAAATTGCGTAATTCGAGCCGACCACGTGTTAACGCTGCTCGGCCCCGGCAGGGGGAAGGGGGAAAGTAGGGGGGAGGAAGCGCAACCTTTTCCTCCTCAGACAGCGGCGTGATTCCGCGGAGCCGCAGTACCGCGCGCCTTGAATAAAACACTCGCGGGGTTCCGACTCGGCCAATCACCGGCCCGGTCCGAGTCAGGGCCGGGGCGAGGAGTAGAAGAGGTACTCACCTGGAGATCTGCATGGCGGCGAGCGGGCTCTTGGGGTCCAGCAGGGATCACTGCGTCAGGTCCAGCAGCAGCAACATCCTGAGAGAGACAGAGCGAAAGGTGCGTGAGAGCGTGATATCGGAACATGGCAAAGGATGATATATCGCAAAATCGAGGCTTTTATGAATTTATCAAGGAATCAATACGTTGATATCGATATTCGAAAGCATATATCGTAGCGACATCGCGATAATCGCGTAGCTGTAGAGAGAGGCAGTAGGGGCAGCACGAGCAAGCTCGTGCAAAAGCGGCAGCACGGGAAGGGAAGAGGGTGAACGCGCGATGGGGGGGAGGGGGGGTAAAAGAAACGTCAGTCTGTGTGTGTGAGTCCGCTTGTGTGCGGAGGAGCCCAGCCAGCGCGCACTGCTGGCTGGTTTGAAGAAACAAAGTTGTCTAACGCCCCCCTCGCCCTTGCCGCAGCCGCAGCAGACCTCGTTATACGACTTCGGGGAAATGTCGTTAGCTGAAGCGCGTGAGCCGTGAGCCCCATGCGCGTGAGCAGCGCCGCCGCCGCCGGCGCGCCACGGCGGCCCCGCCGCAGCGAGCGGCAAAACCGAGAGCAGCACACATGGGCGAAACTCGCCCCGCCCCGCCCCGCCCCGCCCCGCCCCGCCCGCCAACGTACGCGCGCGTCTGATCATCAGCGGGGTGGCATACTTCCTCATGGGTGGCGCGCAGGCAAACGCGTCCTCGCCGTCCTCGCAAAACCCAGGCCTGCTCGAGGGGTCCTCCGCTCTCCAATAAGTGGGTGTACAACGAGTTGCGTGAGTATCCGCGAGTATTCGAGAGTATTAGCGAGTATCCGTGAGTTTATGCGAGTAATGGGCGAGTATCCGCGAGTATTAGGCGAGTATTTCTCGATTTTTCCACGAGTTTTCGAGAATTTTTTGCGAGTTGTCACGAATTGTCGCGAGTATCTTGCGAGTATTTTTACTCGTATACAACCGAGGGGGCAATAACTCCGGGAATCATGTGTACACCTGTCTGGGAATCATCAGGATAAAAATTAATCAAAAGCAATAGAAATCGCTTAGAATATGCGGGAAACTAGAGAAATAAGTACAAATCAGTCGAAATCAGCGTTTTGTACCACTAAAACCCCCCGAAAAAACTATGTAATAACTAAAAGCGGACGGGAATCACCGGGAATCAAGAATTTCGGGAATCATGTGTACACTTCAAAAGGGAGTTATTGCCCCCTCGTATACAACGAGTTGGCGAGTGGGGGCCCCTCGGGCTTGCTCCCCCTCTTTACCTGAAGGTCAAAAAACTACAAGTCTGATGTCGCTCTCGTCTGGACCATTCAATCGATTGTCATGTTTGCACTAATCAATAAAGTGTTCAACACTTTTTAGTAAGGGTTCACCTGCAAGTTCTGACACACGTCGACGTTAACATGTTATTCGAAACTCGCGTAATTGTGCACTTCAACTTATAGAAGCAGTGCTGGAGGGTTCGACACATTATTTATCAGTGTGTGACACGAGTCACGCGGAAAGGAGGCGTGTGCTGAAAAACATCACGCGCGCGCGACTTTTACCTGAGCGCATTTATTTGAGAGCGTTTCCCGCGCGGAGGTCGCTAGACACCCGTTGCCGCGAGCACTTCAGCCACTCTTTTGTCTCCCCGCGCGCCGCCATGGCGCCGAGGTCGTCCCGGAGGAGGTCCCGGAGGCCGTGCTCGCCCTGCTCGCCCTTTGTATGGAGCACTGCGCTGTGCGGCCGCGTGTGTGCGGCGCCGGCGATCGTAATGCGTCCTATTTACCCCGACCATTAAGGGACTCCTCTCGGCGCTCGCGCGCGCTCAGTTTCGCGTGTCCCTTTAATGTGCGAGTAATTATTTTAGTCTTTTTGTTACGCGCGCTGCGGGGCTGCTGAGGGCAAGGCCAGCGCAGGGGAGCGCCCAATGGGACCCCTTGCTGCCGGCCCGCCCGCCCCGCCTCGAGAGAACGGCAGGGCGAGAGCGAGAGCGGAGCCAGAAGAAACGGCACACGGCGCGAGTGCGAGCGAGAGACAAAAGTGTCCTCATGGATATTGCAAGGAATCGCACACATACTCACCGTGGTGCGCGGTGAGCGAAGCAAAGGGGCATATAGGACCGCGGCGCACGCGACAATGTAGGTCAAGTTTCACTCCGCGAGCAAGCAGCCGGCGAATTTGCACGAACCCGGCGTCGACGGTGGCGGCGGCGGCGGCTCGCCTGCTTCTCGCCGTTCCGGCCCTTCCACGACGACGACCCTCGTTGCTCGAGGAGTTCGAGCGAGCTCGACCGGCTCCCGATGGGGTGTTGGGCGGCAGGGGAAAGTGTTTGATAATTTTCGTCCGCACGGCCCCGAGTCCATTTGCGCTCATGTAATCCTACGCCACAACCACCCGGTCTGTGGGCCCCCCAGCCAGCCCCCAACCCTCCCCACACGTTATCATACTAATCCAAAATAACGGCGTGGACGCGTTCAGATAAGCCCCTCGACGCCGGCGCCCGGGCCGGCGGGCCGGAGCCGCGCGCGCTCCCGAACGCGACCCCATGTGTTGCGCCCGCGGCCCCGGCCCCGGCGGCGCGGCGTGCAGGGCTGCAGTTTGAGCGAATTAACACGTCGTTGTCCTTATCGCAAGCCGGTTATGAAAGGAGAAAAGGGGGGCGGGGCGGGGTGAGAGGCAAGGGTGCACCTCTGCTCTGGAGGGGGGAGTGGGCGCTTCGACACGAGGGGAAAGTGTGTGGTGTGTGCCATGGTACGTTTTCTACGTCTGCGACGTTGTGTAGAGTAGCCCCCGTGTTATCCTCATTTCAGCGACTGACGCTTTTGGCGCTGGCGACGTATAGTCGTCTGAGAAACAAAGAACAGAGAACCGCGCGGCACTTAGTATGATACGGCCTCAACGGGCGGAGAAATGGAGTGAGGGGTAGTCGGGGGCAGGGGTGGTGGGCGAAGGGCGG